GTGTGTGTGTGTGTGTCTTGTGGGTGTGCTTGCACATTATTTACCATGCCACAGCCAATTTCTCTTTGTGCAGATCAATAAATTATGCTATTGTATCTTATCTGTTTTTTCTTCTAACCTCATGGTATATGCCCCTGCCTTTAATAATATAGTGACCTGTTTACCTCTGACAGGGATATTGTGCTGGACTTCGCTATTCGTCTGTCTGAGAACATCTCGGGCAGATTCCGCCATAGCAGCCTCTGTGAGGTGGGGAAGATGACATAACAAGGAATTATGAGTTCGGTAAGAAGAAGAGATGGCTATTACACAGAAATTATTAAAAGAACCGATGTATACGTGCAAATAAACACACATACTTGTACATAATATGCATTCACACATAAACACACAGTCATATTATTACAGACACAAATAGAAATACATTGACACACAGACACAGAAGGGGATTTTTTTTTTTTTTTTGGGGGGGGGCTCTCGTGGTCGATAGGTTACGGTGTTCGCTTCTCATTCAATACCGGTAGGTCCCGGGTTGGAATCCGGACAGCGACAGACAATAATTTACTTCTCTAAAATTTTCTCTTATCACCCCCTTTCCTGCGCTGTAACCATGTTCTGTCGCCTGCTTTCGTCTCCACTTTCTGCCGCCATCCCCTCACCTCCTTTGAGCCCTCCTCTGGGCTCCTGACTCTTTCTGCAGCCTTTTTACTGCTACTCCTTGGCCCCTTCTTGCTGCTATCTTTCTGCCACACCCCTGATCTTATGGTAGGAAAGATCTACACCTAGCCTTCTTGGACAAGAGCGAAAAATCTCGGAGGTGCGGTGTGCGCACTTTAAAAATCCGTTGGTGGTTCAAACTCGATAAGAGTAGGCTTTGGCCTGCACCCGGGCAAAATTCAAACTTTCCTGCCAACTGAAAATGTTAAATGTGTCCCGTGCGCTCAGCTCATAAGACCTAATGCAGTTGCAACCGCCGTAAAACACTAACCAAAAAACAACAACACAGACACAGTCACAATTTCACACACACACAAACACACA